CATTAGTCAAGTCTAATTAACGTTTCCTTATAGTCAGATTGTCGACTGTTGCGATTGCTTTCCAGACCGTTATATAGGGATAGATGTTGCTGTAGCTAGCCTATCATTCCCTTTAGCTGTCTCTTTTTCCTTCTCTCTCTTACCTATTGGATTCGCTTTTTCTTCCTTTACCTGTATATATATAGTTGAGTCCGGAGAGAGAGACACAATGGCTATTTCCGCTCCGTCACACCCGGAAGACTCGAACGTCAGTGATTTCTAAGCCCTCTGTAGAGAAAGAGAGAGAGAGAAAATGTGGATGCAAAGAGATGAAACTAGCGCGGGGGAAGTTCCTTTTGCGAACCTCGACATGAAAAGAAGAACTGTATACGCCAAGTGCGTATACATATACATACACGTTTTGTTCGTGCAGGTGTTTTGAAATTGAAAAAAAAAATTCTCTCACCAAGAATAATCGCAGATTTTTTTTTTTTATTCTTTCTTTTCTATATGAAAAATTCCGATATTTATCTTTAAATTTTAATCATAAAGTTGTTACATTAAAATACGGTAATAATGACCATCATTATCTTGCACACTAGTATACGTTTCATGGCTCATTATATTCTTTTTATATATATATTTATAAATATAACAAGTTGCGTGCACTAATCAACAAATCTATAGTTTAAAAAAGTATTTAGATAACGTTCATTATGACACGGTTTGTGAACAAGAGAAAAATTTTTTGATATTTCTTCTTTGAAGAAGAAATTAGTTTGCCAATGTAGGTCTTCCGTGACATCCCCTCCTTTCTCTCTCTCTCTCTCTCTCTCTCCTTTTTAGCAGGAGGCTTCCGCTGAGCGAAAATTTGACACTACCCGTGTCAAGGAGGCGGCAGATGGAGGGCGCCAAACGGCTACTAGCCCGAGGCACATATTAACCTGGAGCCGGCCCTGAATCAGTGAAGGAGATTACACCTCGAGGTCCTGCGGGGTTTGAAACGAGCCCCACGAATGGGCGAGAAAAAAGGCACGAGAGAGAAAAAGAAAAAAGAAGAAAGAGAAAAGAGAACCTCTTGGAGATCCGCGTTCTCATTTGTCTCCCTTCTTTTTCGACCCTCTTTTCTTTCTTTCTCCATCCCTCTTCTTTTTTTTTCTTCTCCCTATCTCACTCGTTTTCATTCTCTCTATCCTTCTCCTTTTTTTACTCCCGCAATCCCCTTCGATCCTGTTTAAGTTCTCTCTCTCTCTCTTTCTCTCCTACAGCTTTTTCGAACCGAATCCCTCATTGTCGACTCGGTAATTCGAGGAGGATCGAAATAACCCATTATATACCGTAATGAGCGGCGCATTCGCGTCCTTCTCCATATAGCCTCGCACTCTGTTATCCCGCAGAGTATGGCTACATTCGTCTCTCAACGAATCCTCTTTTCGTCGCTATATTCCGACTACCGTAACAGTCGAAAATCGTCCAAACGAGTCCCCTGCTGAGGTTTATATCTATACTCGCAGTCCAGTAATAAGTCCCTTTGGTACACTCCTTATTTCCTCGTCGCGAACATTTTTTTTTACTCTCAACTTTCAACTACTCAGAAAATTTTTCAGAAATCGATATCAATTTTCTAAAATTGCAAACTCTTTAAAATATGAATTGTGACTAAGAATTAATTGAGGAATTAGTAATTATTAAACTATTAGTATAATTGCAAAAAAAAATGGTTGAATAAATTTTATTGTACCAATTTTTCAATTAGCAATAAAATTGTAATTTAAATAATAATAGAGAACTCAATATAATCAATACTATTTGATCGTGAATTCAAAGAGTTGAATTCAAATAAAATAGGAGGAGGAGAAACAAATTGAAAATCAACTTTTCAGCAAATTAATTCAATCTCGTTGATAAAAGATCAAAAGCAAAATGGTAATTTCGTAAATCAAACATATGAGATCGTTAACATGCCGGGGAATTTTAATGCGTCAACTCCAATTGGCAGCATTTAAAGTAGAAGTCAAAAATAGCCGCCTAAAACCCCCTTCGACACACTTTGAAACCAAAATACAAATGCGCGCCGAGTACAACAAATGCGAAACTATCCTTTTCTTCTTGTTGACAAAAAAATCTCAAGTGTGAGGACAAACTTAAAATTCCATTTTTAAATTTCTCCTCTTTTTTTTTGTTTTCAATTCTTATTTTACAAATTCTTCTTTTACTTTTAAATATGTCATTCCTTTTTCTTCCATTTGTCGCCAATTTTTTACATACCCGCAACAAATAAAAAAAAATATATATATATATATAGCAAGCTGAAAACTTTTCCAATAAAAACCATCCAAGTGTCGATATTTGACACCTTAAGTAAGTGCTGAGCATGTAATACTTGAAAAATTATTTTCTAAAAAGAAAAACGTGTTTTGAAAGAAGTTTTTCCCTGTTTTTCTTTGTGTTTGGAGCTTCTAGGGTCTAGGGCTTCTTTTCTCAAGTGTGTGGAACGTGTTCGAGGGGTTTTTATTCCGCTAAAAGGAACATATAACGCCATCTCTGAAGTAACTTGGTAAACTTTGATACTACTACTACTACAACTACTTCTTTTACGACTTGTTTCAACTCAAGATTTTCAAGGTCCGACGAGGGACGTTGCTCCTTCGACTCTCCTCTCTCTCTCTCTCTCTCTTTCATTCGCCTTTCTCCCGCATGTTTACCTGAGAGTATTTACTGTTACTGTCACGAACCCTCAAAATTCATTCCACGAACGGGACGAGTCTCGCGTCATTTCGAATTGTCGGGCACTTAATGACATTATCGCTAGCGTTAATCGCCCTCGTTAATCGAGAAACCGGCAGCCAGTTTGAAAGCAATGAAACACGAGAGAAGTTAAATCAAGCCTCTATCCTATTAGTGTATATTACTTTTTTTTTCCTTCTTTTCCTTTCATATTATATACTTCTCGTTAGTCTTGAATGTAATCGTTTCATTTTAATATAATTATTATCTTACAAGAAATTATTGACAGTTTATGATGTATTGTTATAGTTGTTAATAATAAATTTGTCATTATTAGTTTATTACATCTTTCCAGATATTGCCTTATCTGATTATAACCATCCGTGTATCTTTATCATTCTTAAGAGTCTGCTAATGCATTTATGTTTGGTGATGTTTATCAGAAGCAAATACAAGAATCATCCTCAAATATGGTTCCATAATATATCTTTTTTTCGTCAACATCATCTGTTGACTTTCTTTCAAAGTCGGTTTCTTTATTCCAAAAAAATGTAACTTTATTAAGTCATTTCACTTTCTATATAAATACTATAAATGAGTCACTAAATTGTTTGGTTCAAAGAATTCTTTACCAGATTTTAAAAATTAAGTTTTTGACCTAAAGAATTTAAGTATGCGTGAAAATTCTTTTAGAAAGTCAAGGACAAAATTCGTTGGAGGTCCCACAGTAACCGAGTGACCGAGAAAAATAGTGAAAAGGAAAATTGTTTAGAATGTCACGGATGAAAAGTGTGCTAATCCAAATCGAATTTGGGTATACCTGTTAAAAAAATGGCAATAAACGCGTGTCGATGCTTTTCTGTTAATTTTACGATTTGGCTCAAGCGAAGAGAATTAATGGGGGCACACGAAGAAGACCTTGGAACAAAAGCCACCCTGTTTTCTACCCCGTTCCAACGACTTTCAGTATTGCCAGAGGTTCCTCGAAGCAGGAATGCCATAATCTAGATAACTGGCCATAATGGAATACCTGCCTCGACTGGTCGTCGTTGCTTTCTACCTCGTTGCACCTTCGCTCTTTTTTTTCCCCCCCTTTGCCACCTCCCTTCTTCTCCTCCTACTCAACCTTTTCCCCCATGTCGGTTGATCGTCGTTTTGGACTCGTTCCTCACGCTTGCCAAGAACTGAACGCCAAAAAATCCTTCTGTACCGACACGTGTTTTTTCGACATGACTCGAAACTATGAACGTGAAAAATTCTCTCCCCGAACGCTCATTTAAAAAGAAAGAAAGACACACACACACACAGACTAAAAACAAGATTTGACGAATATCAAACGTAACTCCTTGAAAAACTCAGGAGGGAACCTGTCATTCCCTTAACCTTGACATGGGTTGAGATCGATGGAAACCAAGAGATTAATCATAGGCTACATTAATTACGCTTTCTCACAAGAAGAAACATATCTAAACCATGTTCTTTTAAGTTTTATCTTTGACGATCATTAAACTGGAAAAAAAAACGCTTTGTTCATCTCACCGGGTATATTGTATTACATATCCTAAATTATTCCACATTAATTTACATCATCATGAAATCCAATCCTCTTTTTTTCTATCAATTTTTGATAAATGATGATGGAAGATATTTTTTTTTTTTCTGTATATTGATATCATCAAAAAAGTAGAAATCGAAAAATACTTGTTCTATGCGATGACTCGTTATTTTTATTGGCTAGATTTTCTTTGATGCGCAATATAAAAGTAGAGCTTTACTTCGTATACCAACACACAGTAGCCCTTTCAGGATATCGTTCCTTGCAGAATCTTCTAAGCCATATAGTATCAAATGACCAACATATACACACGCGTACCTGGATATTCGAGACTACATGTGTAGTGTGTGGAGAAGATTCGCAACTCGTTTCTTTTGCGACACACAAGGCGTAATTCGATGCTCGACTTTTCTCCGATTCCATGCTTCTGGTTTGCTTGTATAGCGTTCAATCGGCACCCAGAGGGATTAACATATATAGCTTTGAAAATTCCAGAAATTTTCTAAGAAGACGCGAGTGTAACAAAAAAAAAACTATCTACATCTTATGATCAAGATTGAGAAATAATTTTTTTCTCTCTCAATTCAGATAAAAACGTAATGTAATAAATCATAAATTTGAATTTTTTCCTATTCCTGCTTTCGAAAATATTTCTGATTCAACTATACTCGATTACCTCGGAGTAAAACTTTGTCACGTCAAAAAATACAAGTAAATTTTTTCAATTAAAATATTTTACCTTGATGACGAATTTTCAGCTTCCAGAAGATTCTTTCAAACTAAATAGCCCTCGGAGATCCCTACTTTCAAGTTAAATTTCCATTCAGAAAATGTGAAAAATAACCGTCAAAATAGACCGAGTTCTAAAAAGTCCGAGTATGAAGAATTTTGTCCTTCCAACATTCCCTTTTTTACTTTCGCCCTTATATTTGAAGTACGTGACACCACAAGCCATCGAGGATAGAATCTGCAAAAAAGAAAAATTAAACTCTTGTTAGCGCTTTCAAAAAATTCTAAAGAATCTTGGAAATTTAATAGAAAATCAACTATTTTATTAAATGTTCACTTGAAAATGTATACATATATTCAAATATATAGTTGGCAGTTCAATAAACTTGGATCTATTGTAGAAACACTAATTATAATTTTCAAAACGAGCCGACATGAATTTCTATTCATACCAACAACTGACTTTACGAGCAGCCTGTCAAATAACCAGATTACGAGAGTTCGCGCCTAGGCCTCCTTTTATGTAGTTATATATGCGTATGTTATATAGGGTGTCTCGCAGACTTTGCCTCAGGGCAGTGTGAAATAATTACTAGGAGTGGAACAGAAGGGAACTGGCGCGTGGGTCGTGTGGAAATCTCTGATTTGTTTTCATCCATATACACAAAGTAATATTATTATATCCAAAACATGATCTAACTATAAAAAAAAAAATCAAAAATTCTGTGTCTTAATTTAATCGACTTTTCCATAGAACAGAAAAATTCTCTCGATGCAATAAAGTCCACTTGAACCGTAACAATTGTGCGTTACGCTTTTACACATAATTTGAAAAGCATATCCCCCCTCGGGTCACAATCAGAAAATTGAATTACCGATCGTTTAAAAAAATTTCTCCTATGAAATAATAATAATATATTGTTATTTCCCTCTCATTAATTAAAAAAAAAATTTCCCTTGCGGAAATTACAGATCAAGTCTATCGGATGGTGACTATCCACCGTGAAAGGAGTATATAGGAAACGTTCATATAATTTAATTACTGGACGGATCTGCGAAAAAGAGCTATATAGATATACAGCATCCTTGCGAGAATATATATATATATATATATATATATATATGAAGCGCACACACACAGCGGCTTCTCTTCACTTCCCAGAGCTGTCATAGAGACCGTTATCAAAAGCCTACGGTTACAACATATGCGCCTAGAGAAACAAAAAACAAGGACGAATATATGTATATGTGAGACGCGAGCACTTGACCTTTTAAGATTTAATCTCAACGCAATATAACTAATCGCGATATACATATCCCGTAATTCGAGAAATCCAATGCAAAACCTTGTATACATATCGCCACACGCGACAGAACAAGCATAACTGTTAAATGCCACTCTTAAATCTTATTGCTGTAAATTAATAATTCTGATATATATTACGAAACAACATTTCAATTTGCCTATTGTAGAAATTTAGTATGCGCCTATAGAAAATTTCTCAGAATAACAAAATGAAAATCTTATTTTAAGACACTTTTTGTCCTGATTTCTATGACATTTTATTGTCTTATATTTTGGCCAAATGCGACAAGTCTGATTACTTTCTTAACCAATGAAACAAGTCAAGACAATTTAAAGACATTTCCTTAAGTGTCATATCTTAAAATCAGATAAAGGAAAACTTATTTTAAGATAAATGATTAATTATTCCAAAGCATTAATTAATATTCAACACCTATTGTAAAAAGTTTCACAGAAAATTAAAAGGCATTAAAATAAGCTGCAACGCTTCTTATTTTAATCCAATTTTGCTTATTTTAATCCATTTTGGTATTAAAATAAGCAAAATTGGATTAAAATAAGAAGCGTTGCAGCTTATTTTAATGCTTTTTAATTTTCTGTGTTAGTATTAATTTAATAAATTTTGTATTTTTTAGAAAAGAAATGATTTCTGTCTTAAAATAAGATTTTCTCCTTCCTTTGTGTTAAATCTATTGTAAAAAAACCTAAAAAAAAAAAAGAAACTCGATTTTTCGCAGACAGCGCATATATGTATATCGGCATTATTTCCTTTGTATATAAATATATGAGAAAAAACTCTCTCACGCGTGAAATGCCTCGTTTCCGAATATAATCGAATTCCCCCCTTTAGCGTTCTTGAAACGAAATATTCCCAAAACGAGCAGAGAGACGCTATCAAGTCTCGGGCAAAACAGGAAGAGGCAATAATATATTATATATGTACATGTGCAATCGGTCGACTCTCTCACACGCAGTTAATGCTGCACGGTGCAAAATTGTGGGTTAGGGTCGCCGCATTTTACCATCCATGGAAGAAAAAGGATGAGGAGGAGGAGAGTGACGTCGCAAGCCCCGAAGGATTCATTCTAAAATTGTTACTGTCGATAACTTATCGACAATAGACGGTAATTCACCGTCATATGTGGATTTGTCCTTCTTTCATCCACCCCCACCTATATATATCTAAAAACACCGTCTACATATATAATCAAAATCCAGTTGCTCCCTATATACCTTCCGGCTAAAATTCAGATGATCACAAGAAAAAATCTCAGTATCATCATCATCATCGAAAAATTCATAATTTTATATATTAAATTTTTAGGCCCCAATAATTTAAATTCTTCGGTAAAATGTATTCTTTACCAAAAAAAAAAAGATGACAAAATTTGGAAGTTTAAATTTCTTATAATATATAAGATTTTTTTTCATGAAAAATTAATTTTTTTTTCTTACAGAAATATAAATATTGTGAGAGAGATTATGATGAAAAAAGATATTTGGTCAAAACTTTAGTCGACTTTAGAAAGAAAGTACTCGAATGGCGATTTACGCGCTTACAACTCTCGTGAATGGGCTACGATTCAAGGGATTTGCGATTCAGTGAATGGAACTCGAGCGTAAACTCCGATAGGATCCCGCGCGTGAATGGCACCACCGCACCCAAATGCAGGTCCGCTTCCGACCTACTATATATGTGCGCTTGGTAAACGTAGAACCTTCTTCATTGTGTCCTCTCACCTGCGAGATCAAATCGTTATATGTATTTACTTTCAAGAACATCCCCTAAACCTAACATCTTTTTTTTCCATTTCTTTCTTTCATTTTTTTTTTTTTTTTTTTTTCCTCCAAATCCTAGACCATCTCCGATCCTTGAACAACTGTTGACTTTCAACTACCGCAAAGCCTCACCTTTGTCAAATGTGCTTTATTTACTTCGATAATCCTAACATTTAGTTTTCTATCATCTATTTTCCTTTTTCAATAAATATATATGTCCAATTGTTGAACCGAAAAGCAAAGAAAAATATTTGTTGAGTCTTTGCTGGTCAAATATCAGGACAATGAAATTTAATATTTTAATTTTGTCAAGTGCTACCTATATACAAGAAAATGAAAAACATAACCTAAAACTTCGGAATTTTTTTTACTAAAAATTGCCAGACTTCAAGAATTTAATTTTTAAAAATTTGATTTTACTCCCAATTTACAGAGGGTAAAAATAATAAGAAAAAAAAAAGGTGGATCATCCACTCCACGTGCATTTTATGACGGTAATGATAAAGGATCAATGCGGGTGTTGGCAGAAAGGTCAATCGAATTGATCGAACGAGAAGCAGTGAATCTTGAAATTCTTTATCTTTTTTTCTAAAAAGCTGTGATATAGGCTTTTTAAAAAATGTGCCTCGTAAGGTCCCTATAAGATCTAAAGTGAGGAGATGACCAGGACGAAAAGTACCGGACAGGGTGGGAATGAAAGGCAGATGCAACCCTGGTCAGAAAAAGAAGCAGCTGCATCATCGACCCTTATAGATATATATATAAGAATATAATCGACCCAAACACATGTATCATCATCATCATTTTGTGTTAGTCAAGAAAATTTCAAAAATTCCTTCAGATTTCTTCGCCTCGTTTATTTAACCTCAAGAAACGTTTTGTTTTATCATGTTGCGTTGATCTTGCATCCCGCAAAGCACTCCACTTTCACACACACACACACATATACGATAAGAAATATACCGTGGTGGTGCGTTTCATATATGCGGGAAACACGAACTGGTTTTCTTATATATGCTTCTCGCGCGCTCTATCCTAGACGAGAAAACCCATTAATCTCGCGCGAGAAAACGTTTTGTAGATTCCGCGGATTTGTGTGTGCCTCCCATGACTCGCGGTTAATATAATAAGATGTAATTACCGGCAAAGTATATATAATATCCCGCTGTGTGGTGGCGCGACGATAATCGTAACAAATTATCTGTTAAGTAGATTCCGAATAAATTAATTAATACTATCGCTCGATCGTCCCTAATTACTTTTTTTTTTTTTTTCTTTTTACCTCGATCAACTTTTTCTTAATATTTATTTCTGCAGAGTCAGTTTCAAAATTAGCGCGCTCACAAAAAAAAAGGAAACTAGAAAAATACAGATTGTTTGTGAAAAAACACATTATCATTTTAATTAGTTTTCTAAATTTTTAACTCTTGTAAAAAGATATTAAATACTTTTCTCTAATCCAATAATTTCCTTTTATATAATAATTTTACCGCCTTGTTTCGATGACGCACATACATCTCCTACCTGCGAACCTTGTAAATAAATCACCAAATTCTTTTTTCAAAATCTAGTTAACCATATTTCCCCGAATACAAAAAAAAAAAAAAAAATGCGTGTACTCGTAAAAAATACAATTCTCGATAGATTTATATCAAACAGATAAAACTTTATTTTCGCATATATAAATCTTCCACAGACTATTTCAATCTCTATGTCAAAAATGACATCATTTTTATTTCTCAGAAAATGATTGTATATTTTTTATATTTAATCGACTATTCTTATATAAAAAAAAAAAATAATATTGAGATCATAAAGTATAATATAATGCCCCCGAGGTTTTGCCAGAGTTCAAAACCATAGATATATATTTTTGCGGAGGAGAGGAAGAAGAAGAAGGGTAGTATCGTAGGTTCGATCTTTTGGACCTTGAGGCCCGGTCACTGTATATGGAAAGACTTGGCAAAGAAGGGGAGGGGGTGGACGGGGGGAGGTAATCGATTACCGCGGGGCCGTTTCCTTCTTTTACCTTTACTGCGTGGAGAGAAGCAACGCCAAAATTTATACCTGGCGGCAGTGTCGAGATGCACCCTCGCCTCGTTTTCAAACGGAGGTTGGGCATTCAACGGCGCCGCGTACTGTGAAACGAAAAA